ATAAAGTCATCCTCCAAAAATGTAGGTTTATTCTGAAAAGGTCAGAATAAACCTACATTTTAAAAATTATTACTATTTTAAATATTTTTCTTCATTTTAGGGGGAAAAAATGGAATGATTTGGACAATTTTAAAGAGATTTTGGACAATGTTTGCATCGTTTTCAACATGTTGGACGACTGAGCCAAGTCCGGATTAGCAAGTAAAAATGTGTGAGTGTGTGTCTGTGTGTGTGTTTGTGTGTGTTTGTACCTGCAGCTTGCGTTCGTGGTCTCCACTGCAGAGCGAGTTGAGAGAGACTTTGAAGGTTTTCCAAACAGGGTTGAGATTATTCATAACAGTCTGAGAGACATGAAGACAGAAAAGCAGGTCAGACATGAAAACAGTTGCAGAGACACAGTCAGAGTGTGTTTGTACGTTCTGGACACATTTAAACTCAAATCCAAGGAATGTTTTTAAGTAATTTCAGACAAAGTGTGGGTCGAACTTAATATTCTCATCCAGTGTTGGACGTATTTGAATGAGCTTGGACACATTTTGAGTCTCACTGAACATGTTCACATCACAAATGACAAATATTGAGTGACTTTAGACAAATTCAGGGTCATTTAGGACTTTTTTTTGGTCCTTTTCAAGTGACTTTGGAAACATTTTCAAGTGAATTCTGAAAATTTGGGGTCAGTTTGGAAAAATATGGAGTCAATTTTGCCATTTTTGAGTCATTCTGGATCACGTTTGAATAATTTCAGGCACATTTTAAGTTGACTAGTTGTCTCATTTTGGACGATCACTGAGTCAAACCGAACACGTATACGGCGTTTTGGGTACATTTTGACTAATTTTGGACACATGTCAAGTGATTTTGGAGCATTTTTGTGTCATTTGGTGGAACATTGTGTGCGTTTGTACCTCAGTTCTGTAGACGAGCTGCAGGGTTGCGTCGTCGTTCAGCCTGTAGATCTCCAGGAACGGATCCGATTTACTGAAGAAGTCCTAAAAACAAACACGTTTGTACAGAGAGTTATAAAAATATATATCCCTGTACAACAGAAAGCAGCTAATTAGACGTCTGATTATCAGGCTGAAACAGAATCACATGCAGACAGTAATTTTCTTCCTGAACACGTGCTGATAAAGTGTTGAACATTTTCTTTTCATGCGTCGTCGATGTCGTACGTTTTCATCACATTAATAAACAAAGTGATTTGTTCACATACATTTAAGTGTCTTCTTCTCTTTAAGTTCTTAAACCTGGTTCTGTTGTTGATGTTCACATGAGAATATAAATGAGGAAGAAACAGCTGCTGCAGGAACCGGTTCACTGACTAAACGGATTTACATGTTTTAGAAATGATGTAGCAGATATTCAGAACCGGAGGGATTTCTGAAGCTAACAGCGACTTAAACCACCACAAAGAGACGCAAACATGATGATTAAAGAATCAGTGTGCGCTACAAAAGGAGTTTTTAAAAGCCTAATGAATGAATTAAACCAAAAAAATCAGCCCCAGTTTGGCACATTTCCCTAAAATTACTGCAAATCTTTTGTTGACTTATCTGCTGGTTTGCCTTCATGTGCGACTTTCTGAGACTCGACAGGTAGACGTGACGGTGAATGAGTCCTGCGGTTGCAGCGCGTTAAGGTTATTTTGCATAAAATGAACTAAGAACTGTCCAAACTAATGAGGTTCGTCCAAAACGATAACAAAAAATAAAAAGTTCCAAAATGTCGTAAAGCCTCTTCAGGATGACACAAAAAAAGGTCTGGAGTATCTCCATACATAAACTTGCTCATAGTGGGGAGGCTGTTCGGTGGAGCTGAAAAGTTGTTCAAAACAACTGAAAATTTGAGCAAAATGACTTGAAACTTACGGAAGCAGAGAGCGGTCGTTTTCCGCTACTGTTCTTTCTTCGCTGTTTTCTCGAGATAACGAGTTAATTTTCTCGTTATCTCGAGATAACAAGAATCATTTTCTCGTGAAAACGAGATAATTTATCTCGAGATGTCCAACTTCGTTTTCTCGAGATAACGAGATATTTGGTGCTTTTGTTTGCCCGCTCGTGCCCGGTCCAGGATGGAATCCCAGGTGTGTGGGACCTCTTGAATCAGGTGTGTTGGAAGAAGGAAACATCTAAAACTTGCAGGATTGCGGCCCTCGAGGATCGGAGTTCGAGACCCCTGGTCCAAACGATTCCACAAAATTGTACAAAATGGCACAAACTTGTCTGAAATGATTTAAAACTCATTCAAGATGACTTGAAACGAGTCTAAAATTACTTCAAATTCATCCAAAATGGTTCAAAAATTTTCTTCTTTTTTTTTCAATTGTCTACAATGATATGAACTTATTCAAAGCCATTCTAAAACAATCCACGTTGATAAAAAAAAAAAAAAAAACGTATATAAAATGATTTTTAAAATGTACAAAATCACTAGTAAATTATCTAAAATAACATTTTTTAAAAAACTTGGTCCAAAGGGACAAAAACTTAAGATTTGTGCAAAATGATTTTAAAAATTGTTCCAAATGCCAGATAGAAAATACTAATAGTTAAT